GTGTGTGTGTGTGTGTGTGTGTGTGTGTGTGTGTGTGTGCGTGTGTGTGTGTGTGCAGCATACGGTACCTGTTCGTAGTTGAACACTCCGCCCATGGGGCTAAACTCCACACACAGCGTGGCCGTTGTAAACAGGTTCACCTGCGCGTTGTACACGGTGAACTCTATGAACAGGACGCGCGTGTTGTGATCGATCCAGCCCTGCGAGAGCACCTCGTTGATGTACGCGTGCGCCTCGTCGGCTGTAGCGGGAAGGTCGAGAACATAACCGCCTCCCAAATACACGTCCAGCGTGCCGATGAAAGGAAGACCCGCCAAGCTGCGGCAAGAAGAGACACAGCTACACTCACACACGGTGGGTGGAAATTTCAACGGTACCAACAACTGCAAACTATATTTGTCGCATACTATAAGCAAACTATCAATTTTAGCCACTGGCGGGGAGGGACTTCAATGTTAATGATTACCGCTCCTGATCGTAACGGCCGCTAGAGGGCCTACTCACCGCGTAGATAGATAGGCATGTGCCTCAGCTGTTTCATGAGATTTTTTTCACATGTTGTCTGGCATTTTACAAACCTCAATGACATAGAGACAATTATTTATCCACTTATTCAATAGTATATATAATGTATATACTATATATATGTATTAATGTTATTGATGTTATTGAGTCACTGTAATTATTATGGAGTTGTGATTTACCCATTAGAGGCGTTAACCCCTTACTATATGGTAGTGGGTGGCTGCTGACTGAGCCAGACTGGCCAATGAGTGAGCAGGTCACAGCGACTGTGATTAGGTCGTCCAATCAGCGAGCAGGCTTTTGCCTGACGTGACGACGTCATTTCTCAAGTTGAATTTATAACTGCAATTAGTGCACGCTTCTGCCAAAGCCATTAACTAAATTGTTTCCATTCATCAGGTATTTGCCTGGGGCAAAGTTTTGCCGTATTTACTTCTGTACGCTCGATTGCTCGCCGCTAATCAGATTCCCCGCCATAAGTCAAACACCGTTTCCGGTCGATCGATAACGAGGCTCGCGAACCGCTGGCGCGGCGCTCGCTTACAGGCGTTAGTGTAGCCGTGCGGAACATAATGACTGTATTATACAGGTTAGGAGGAACTTAAGCTTTATTCGCTGTGATATCACTTATTGTTTGACAAGCGCGAAGGCAGTTTTCACATCGGGTAATCACGTGACTTCAACAACCAATGAGATCATTTGTAGGCACGTCATCCCCAGGGGCGGATCCAGAGGGTTTGGATGACCAGTTTCCATAATTCTAGTCACGTACAGCTAGGGGGGTCCGGGGGCATGCCCCCCCGGGAATTTAAAAAAATTAGGTTATATTTGGTGCATTCTGGTGAATTTTGAGGGTCAATTCTGAAGATACCCAGCCTGTGACCGGTTTCTGGAAACCGGTGCAAACCGGCCTAAATCCGCGCCTGATCCCCGCGACTATATGACAAATTTCACAGCAATTTTTCGCGGAGTTTGACTCGAGCATAAACCGTAAGACGAGCACAACACAACTACAATTACAAACCAATTACAATTACAATACAATTACAAACCGGAAGGCGTCTTGGAAGATCCACGGCGAATCCTTCCACGTGTACTTCTTCGATTTCTTTGCGAGTTTCTTCGCTGCCTTCCTGTCGGCCTCATACTGATCAGCCTCGGTCTCATTCATGGCAACCCAGCCTTCTCTATAGTCACCCTTATCATCGCCAGACCAGCACTTACTCACTATCTTACTGGCCGTGCCTTTACACTTCTCTGAAGCAAAGCGAGCCGAGCATATATAACCCTGAAACTATATATATATATATATATATATTTTAATACAGTGAATTATATTATTATTCAATGTATATACATATATATATATATATATATATATATATATATATATATATACATTGAATAATCATATAATTTATTGCAATATAGTTAAATTAATTAATAATATAACTCCGCACACACACACAATGTGTGTGCATGCGTGCGCGTGCGAATGTGTGTACACATTAAATAATATTTCTGCACCCACAGCGTCAGGGAGGGTAACAATTCTAGCATTCAATTACAATTCTACAACTCGAAGAACAACTCTAGTATTGAGAGCGATTTCAACACCCCCTCCCCTCACCTTTCTTGATGCGTTGCTGGCGCAGTCGGATGAGACCGACTCGTAAGGCTTCACGATTCTTCACGTAGCGTTGCATGTGCTCCGTGATCCCGCTGCCGTTGTACCAGTTACCGGCGTACAGCGACGGCACGAGCGTCTTATTCAACCACGGCCATACGTCGTCCCACTGACTGATCTACAACGACAACATCGAACATGGTTACTACATGTATAATGAAAATGATGATGATGATGATGATGCTGATGATGATAATAATAACAATAATAATAATAATAATAATAATACTTTTTAGAGTTATCATACAGAAGTTATGGTCACCATTGTTACGACGCACAGCAGACGAAAAAACGCGCGCAACAACTGAGTCGCGAAGCAGATGTTCATCTGTTTATTTCCACATGGATGCACAAGATGGCCACGCACATGTGTACATCAGGGCATGGGGGCGTGCAGCTGGTACCGATAGTATGATTACATATATGATGACTTATACATGTGATATATATACATATATATATTATATATGCTTATTTATTTATGTATTAATTTAATTTAATTTATTATTTATATTCTTATATATTTTATTATATTTATATATGTTTTATATATTTTATTATTTATTATCTACACATGCTTATTTACTTACTTACTTACTTATTTATTTTATTTTATTTTATTAATAATTTATTATATTATATACGTACTTGGTGGACCAGAGCACCCTGTCCGCCTGGGTTGGAACCCATGACGTACATGCCGATAGCGGAGTCTCCCTCGCTGTGAACAAAGTTCTCACGCACAGACTTAGTCATCAGGAAGCATTCTTCGGTTCTAAAATAGCAGACGAAAACACAAAAGAGAATTGTTTGTCTTAGAATTAATGTGAAGAGTAAGAGTAAGAGTAAGAGTAAAAGGAAGAATCAGAATAAGAGAATTAATGTCTCATGATCTAGTAGCCTAACACCTCTCTCTCTTTCTCTCTCTCTCTTCTCTTCACACACAGTAACACGTATCAAACCTCGTCTTTCTTTCTCTCTCTCTCTCTCTCTCTCTCTCTCTCTCACACACACACGCACGCAGCGCCACGCACGCACGCACGCACGCACGCAGCGCAACAAGCAGCGCAGCAGCTACGCACGCCTAACGCACGCACGCACTGCACGCACACACACACACACTGTCTCGCATCTTCACTTGCCAGACTCCACCTCACTCGCCACAATTTTTCCTCTCTCTTTTGTTCCTCTCTCTGCCTGTTCTCTCATGCTGCTCTCTGCTCTCTTCTCTGCTCAGATCTGCTTCTCTGCTCGGGTCACGTGCGTCTCAGTCGTCTCTCCGTCTCTGCTCCTTGGCGCCGTCCCCTCTCTTATTCTCTCGCCTTTCTTTCTCACAACCTCTCTCTCACTTTCTCTCTCTCTTCTCTTCTCCATATCTTTCCGTCCAATCACCCCGTCGGCCGTTTCGTCAACTCTCTCTTCTATCTCTCCCACTTAATAATATATTAGTTTAGTAAACATATACACGTAGAATGATGGTGGTTATGGTGACAGTGAATGCAGATTCCTACTTGTTGTGATGGGCCAGGATGAGTAGAGAGCCGAGGAAGAGGACGTAGATGACAATCTCCTTAATGACAGCCTCCATCTTCAGTTCCTTCATCCGCTGATCCCGCATCTTCTCAAGATCGAGAGTCTCCGGCGGCATAAACTTGGCCATGTCGTTGTTCATGCGGCTACGATGCGACGCCACCGCTGCAACAATCAACAAGCGCGTTAAATGGCGGCTGCGTATAAGCTTAAGTACAAGTTACGTATAAAGCATTAAGTGACAGGTATATAAGGTATAATAACTATATATATATAGCTATATAAGGTATAAAAGCTATATAAGGTATAATAGCCATATAAGGTATATTAGTCCAACATGGCCGACAAGCTCGTTAAATGGTAAAAACCATATAAGGTATAAATAAATAACCATATAAGGTATAATAGCTATATTAGGTATAATAGCTATATTAGGTATATTTGCTATATAAGGTATAATAGCCATATAAGGTATATTAGCCATATAAGGTATAACAGCCACATAAGGTATGTAGGTGTCTGCGTACGTTTCTTCGCGCCAATTAGTTCTTCATCTGGTCCCGGGGTCGCGTTGATAATAGGCTCAGAGTCATCTTCCTCTGACAAGTCTGGCTTCTTGAGAATGTAGGAGAGGAAGAGAGCAAGCGCCAGCACCTGTGAGAGATACGAGAGGAGGTGAGAGAGTTTGTTAAAGATAGGAGGTGAGAGAGGGTCGTGAGCGCATCTGTGAAGGGTGTGTGTGCGAGCAACCATATGTGAGAACTAATATATATATATATATATATATATATATATATATATATTAGAGGCAGGAATATATATAATGAGAGGCAGGAGACTGTAGCAATAGAGTAACTCATAGGCCGGCGTCTTGTACCACACAGTACCTTGAATGGCTGTACGAAGACGACGGACTCGATGAAGGAGAGCACCATGGCGGTGAGCCACTGTGCAGACTTCTCCGGTCCCCACTCCATGCTGTAGAGGATCACGAAGAATCCGGACGCTGTGTCGCGCGAAGAGAGAGAGAGAGAGAGGAAATTATACGTAACACGAGACCGGCATGTTAACGACAACTTATAATGAATAAACAAAAACTAATTAATTAATTACTCGATTAATTAATAGATATATATTAATGAATTGATTGATTAATTCATTAATTGATTTTTGTGTATTTATAATCACGAGAATCGCAATGATTGTATATATATATACATATATATATATATTAATATTTTCGTGTGTTCTAGTAGAGTACCACAGCAATAGACATATTAGATTCGTTTGCATACTGATTGGTTTCCCAAGCACTTTGCTTGACAATGACAAGCTTGGGCCAGCCTTCGTCTGTCAGTGCAGAATATAGACTGTCCCCTTGCTTGGTGCATCGTTTGCGCGCGTGCTGCTTGCCCTGTCTGCTTACTGAACACGGTAAGGATGACGCTGGCCCAGCCGATGTAAACCACCCAGTGTGGGTAGAGTTTACTCTTCTTCTTCTTCTTGTACTTAGAGCCCTTGTTTCCCACCGAGTATTTGCTGTTCTCCACCGGTTCCCCGTACAGATTGTTGATGTCAAACGTCTTCCTCACCGACTGTATGAATCTGTAACATAAATAGTATGACATGAAATATATGTATGTACATAAATGTATATGTACATGAAATATAATTATGTATGTACATAAATGTATATGTACATGAAATATAATTATGTATGTACATAAATGTATGTACATGAATAGTAGACACATGGCTTGCCTCTATACTCCCAGGACACGTGTGATATTCGTGTAGTGTGTGTGCGTGTGTGTGTGTGTGCGTGTGTGTGTTTGTGTGTGTGTGTGTGTGTGTGTGCGTGTGTGTGTGTGTGTGTGTCGCAGGTTATGGAG